CTCCCCGAGTGTCCCAGGTCCTTTCAGGCTGCTGCCCGGCGCTGGGCTCAGAGGGTGCGTCCGAGTGAGTCCGTGCCGGGCCCTTTAGAGGAGCTGCTGGGGCTCCCTCAGCCACAGTCCCCGCCGGTTTCACAGCCCGGAGTTGTGGGGACGTCTCTTCCTGGCCTGGAGCCCTGGGCTGGGGGTCTGCTGTGGGGCTGAGACCCCTCCCTCCTCCGGGAAACCTCCGCCGCCGAGATTCCCTTCAGGGTTTAAACATGGCACCGGGGTGGGTCCGGGCCAGTCTCTGTGATTCAGCCCCGATCCGCCCGCGTCTCCGCCCCTCCTACAGTCTCGGTGCTTCTTCAGGTCCCTGGTTGTGGGGCTTCTGTGTAGCCAGGTTTCAGGAGGCTCTGAGTGACGGTGGTTCTGTATTTTAGTTGTAATTTTGATGTGGTTGCGGAGGTGGCGGGCGTAGCTCTTACCTACGGCGCCAGCTTGTTTCTCCCTCCGGTCCTGGACTTTTGTTTGATGAATGTATTTTAATTAATGTTTCAGTTTCATTGGTTGTAATTGTTCTGTTTTTAGATTTTCTCTTCCTTCTTGACTGAGTTTTGGAAGATTGTATGTTTTTAGAAATTTATCCATTTCTTTCGGATTGTCCAATTTATTGGCATATAGTTGTTTATAATATCAAATAAACAATCCAATCTTACACCTAAAGGAGTTAGAAAGAGAAAAACAAAGTCCAAAGTGAGTAGAAGGAAGGAAATAATAAATATCAGGCAGAAATAAATGACAGAGTCTTAAAAGAACAAACAGTACAAAAGATCAATGAAACCAAGAGCTGGTTCTTTGAAAAGATAAACAAAATTGATAAATCTTTAACCAGGCTCATCAAGAATAAAAGAGAGAGAAGAACCAAATAAATTAACTCAGAAATGAAGAGAAACAACACTTGGCACCACAGAAATACAAAGGATTATGGGAAAATATTGTGAACAATATATGCCAACAAATTGGACACTATGGAAGAAATGGGTAAGTTCCCAGCAACATACCATCTTCCAAGACTGAATCAAGAAGAAATAGAAAATCTGAACAGGCCGATTACCACTAAAGAAATAGTTAGGCTCATCCTCACCCTGGAGGAGAAAGCCGTGGTTATTGCCTAGTTTTTAAAACTTTTTGCCTCCATCTTCCTGGCAGATGAGAAAGCCCATTTCCTGAAGCCCATTCCTCGTCTCCGATTTCATCTCTCCTTAGTGGATGGCCCGGATGCTGAGTTTCTTTCAAAGAACAAAATGACAAGTCAATTTCTCCGCACTTGTCCCCCTGAGCCCTGGTGGATAATCACTGATCTAACCACCAGAAGTCATGCATTTTCCTTTTTTGTAACCAGGAAAAAAATCAGTTGACTCGTATTGGTTAAGATGGATTTTTCTACTTCACTCTATCTTATTACTTGTCCACTTTGAACATAACTGTGGACTTTGTCCATTCATAGATTTTCCTAGTTATTATAATCTTTGTCTTGTTTTGTTTTTTAATTTCTCTAAATGTCAGTGATGGGGCAGTGGGACCCCTTCCAGCAGCCCTTTGGTCATTGTATCTTGTCATCTTTGAGAGTCCTCACCTTTGTGCATCCACTTAATCCTGGCCTATTCTGTGTCCACCCACCCAATCATGGGATTGACCTCCAACCAAGCAGCTCAGGCTTCTTGTAGAGAATATAATATTAGATAACAAAATTTGCTTGTTAGGGGCACACATTATATTACTTCAGGTAAATACTACTGCTAGGTTAGGATTACCAGCATTTTAGGGATAGCCCTGGAAAATTACCTTTATCCCCCTAAAGTGTATGACTACATAGTTCATAGTTACCAGTAACTTTACTGAGTATCTATTTGACTTTCTCTATATGAGAGTTTTCGTCTAGTTTCTTCCCTCCTTTTTAAAAACGTGACCTACAAGTTTTCTCTTTGTTAACTTTCAGTATTATGCTATTGATTGACATCCTAAACTATGCATTTCAGAGACAGCATCATCCCTCCTTGAACCATGTTTTAGGAATCCTGGAACTGACTCTAAATTGTGCTACCCAGACACCTGTCTTCCTTGTGTCACTAGAACAGTAAATATCTGAAAGGACAAAGCAATTAAAATCTCTCTCCAGAGCCTGCTAACTAACTCATACTACCGGCCACTCTCTGGGAAACATGCATAAGATGCTGGGGTCTTAGATGGAGTCCCCCTAGATTTTTGAGAAGAGTAAATAACTAAATATAAAAAACTAGAGGCTTTTAATATTTATCTAAAACCATCCACACATTCTTCACTTGAGGTGTGAAGCTTCAGCACAGAATGGGAACATCTTAAATGCAGTCCTTCCAAAGTGTTTATTAAATATCTGGTGTATACCATGCACTGGGCTCAATGAATGGCACATTGTAAGTGCTCAGTAAATGTTTGATTTTAGAAGGAATTGAAAGTTTGGCTGTCCAGTAGAAACCTCAGCAATCTGGAGAAGGTGGAGCCTACTGTGTGTATTACAGTAGCTGAACTTCAACATGGTCTTTTCTGCATGCTTCACCGAAGGGTTCCTTCCACTGATGGCTTCTCTTCCCTACCCTTGCTTCCTTCATATGCTCACAAGATTTTAATTAGATTCATTTTCTATCATTCTGCATTTAATAGTCGTACCCATAATAATAATGCTGCATTATATAGATTTCACTGTGAGTTCCCTTTGCGATGGAAGGGATGATTCATTTCATTTGTTTCGTGACTATTTGTTAAGGGTGCGCTGTGTTCCCCAGCAGCGAGCAAGCCTGGTTGCGTGGTGCCCTGCCGGGGGGACAGACTGACACAGTTTCCAAGTAACCTCCATACAGTGTGAGGAGAGCTTTGATCAGGGAGTTGAGGGGCTGTGTGAGCACAGGCCTGGGAGAAGCATGAGCCAGGGTGGGGGTGGGGCAGGGAAAGCTCTCTGGAGGGAGATGCTGGGACCTCAAGGTACAGGCTGTAGGTCAGCCCTGGGAATGAGCATATGCTTTCAGAGCCGCCATTTGAAAGGAGGCTCTGAGGGGCAACCGGACACTAAAATGAGAGGAACAGCTCTGACCTCCCGCTGAGTGTGGAAGAGTGCCCCTGGGCTTGGCGGGACGTGGGGGAGCTCCGTGTTAAGGGTCTGCCTCCTAGACTTGACTCCGTGTCTCTTTGGTGTTTTAGTCTCTACTCTGGATCCTGGAGACGCCCAAAGGCCGTGCTGCTTTCAGAGTCTCCAGTGGGTTCAATGGGCTGCTGTCCCTGCTTTCTGACCTGGAGGGCTCCCTCCAGGAGCCCCCCCTGCAGACGTGGGGCACAGTGTCCCGCAGCGAGACCCTGGACCTGGTCCTGCACACCCTCTGTGCCATGTCTGCAGCGCTGCACCTGGACCCCGTAAACATTGACTTCTTCAGGAGGAACGGGCTCTTCGAGAAGCTGGCCGAGGACCTCTGCCTGCTGGGCTGTTTCGGGGCCCTGGAGGAGGAAGGAGCCCCCCAGCACTCCCAGGACAGCACGAAGGCCAGGCCGTTTGCTGACTTACTGAGCTTGGCCTTTTCCTCTGCCTGCCTGTTCCCGCCCAAGATACAGAGCTGCCTGCAGATCCTCAGCTTCCTGGACAGCATGGCCAGCGGCACCCTCCACCTGCTCAGGGACCTGAGGGCATCGCCGAGGGCTGTGCAGGAAGCAGCTGCGGGAGCCCAGAAAGGGGAAGCTAGCAGGGACCCCCAAGGCAACTTGGAGCAGTGGCCAGACCTGGAGGAGAGGTAGGTAGAGCTTTGCTGCCTGCTTCTGTAATGGATGGTCAGTGTCTCTGTCTCCCTTTTCCCACCCAAACATCCTGCACGTGGAGTGAGTAGAAAGCCGAGGCTACAAGCTGGGTGTGCAGAAATGTCACATGACTTTCTTTTTTTTAAGTCAAGTTAACACTGACTCCAAGCTCCCCCATCATGGAGCTAACAGAACAGCAGTCGGAGTCAATACAGGATTGTGGGATGCTGTTGGGCCCCACAAAACCAGGGAAGTTTACCAATCTTAGAAATGGTGCAGAACTCCAGAGATTGGCTCACTTTCTCCTTGGCATCTTTGCTGCTCCTGGGGGCTTTGATGCCTGCCTATGCCTGACCTTCCTTGTGTGCCAGCAGCCTTTGCCTTGTCTTATATGCCCCTCAGGGGCACTGCCAAGGGATGGGGAGGTCCTTTGACTTACAGGACACAAAGCACAGAATCCTTCCCAGTGATGGGCCTCTTCCTGTTCGTACTCACTGTTTCCACTTTCCTGAGCAAGGACAATTGCTCCTCTCACTGTAGGCCAATCTCGATGAGTGCATGCTTCCCGGAACTACATTTTACTCTCATTCCTGAAACACAGGATCCCACTAGAGCAAGGGAGGGCAAGGAACCCCTCACCGTGTCCCTTGGAGCTGTAGGGGGAAAACCATGAACAAAACACCAGCAGTTGGTATTGCTCTTCATTCCTCCACAAAACACAGATTAGCACTGTGATAAGCATCCTGCCCACCGCTTCTCCATGTCCTCTTGCCCTAACATCGCAGGGCACTTTTTGGAAAGACGTTACACATTTTTATCCAAAGAAAGCTCCCGTTGGCCAAATGTTAATGCTGGCAGTTGGTAGTGAGGGGGATGGATGTCAAATCTTCAACCACTTTGTTTTTGTTTGATTGGTTAATCTGGTAAATTAATTGGTCTCCTAATATCGCATTTCTGCTGATTTTTAAAAAACATTTTTGTTTCTGAGAGCTTTGGCTTTTCCCACTCCCTCCTGACTCCCAGGCTTGCGCTGGCCTGCAGCGTGAGCTGGGCGCGCCCTCTCCCCCATGGGCTGCCGTAGAACTTGGCAGTGAAACCTCATGGGCCTGGGGTTTTCTTGTAAGATTTATTCNCATGATATAATTATTGTTGGATTTGATTTGCTGATTTTTAAAAAACATTTTTGTTTCTGAGAGCTTTGGCTTTTCCCACTCCCTCCTGACTCCCAGGCTTGCGCTGGCCTGCAGCGTGAGCTGGGCGCGCCCTCTCCCCCATGGGCTGCCGTAGAACTTGGCAGTGAAAGCTCATGGGCCTGGGGTTTTCTTGTAAGATTTATTCTTGTGAAAGTAAGTTTCTATTTATTCTTGAATCATTCTTAGTAAGTTACTTTTCAAGTTTATTTTCCCATTTCTTCTAAGTTTTAATTTATTGACATGAGGCTATTTATAACATCCTATTTACTTTTATCCCTCACATTAAGATTGGTGTCTTCTCCTGCCCCCAGCACCCAGCATTCTTGGCAGAGGGTTATTTAGCAGTGTGACCTATGGGCTAACTTGCAGCATTTTCTGTCACTCATGCATACATTGCCTGTGTCCTTTTCGGTCCTTATTATTTCCATCTACTTTCTTTGAGTTTATTTATCCTAGTATTCTTCTTCTTAATTTAACTGATTAGGACATTAATTTTCAGTCCTTTTTAAAAATATAAATTTCCCACACAAAGGAAATTTATCTCACAAGGTTTATATTATATCTCAATATAATTTAGTACTAAATATTTCCTAATTTCCCTATGACTTATAATTTTATTCTTGAGCCTAGTTTAAAGGGCAAATTTCCAAAGTTACATAGTATTTTTGGTCATCTTTTCATTATTGACCTTTAATTTTATCATCATGAGAGAAGGTGGGTTTATGACACTAGTCTTTTGAAATTAGTTGAGTTTGACTTGATGCCGAATGTGGTAAATTTTCATAAGTGTTTTGTGTGTGCATAAACAAATGCATACTTTCCAGTTGTTAAGTTCATTGTTCTACTTATGTCTTTTAGATCAAATTTATCAATTGTCTTGTTCAAATTTTAAGATTTCTTAATCTGCTTGGCATATCAGTTACTAACATATGTTAATTATCTTCCATTATAATGGTAGATTTGTCAATTTCTGTTAATTTCTGTCTTACATGTACCTGAGACTATTAGAATCACACATATTTATAATTTTTACATCACCTGGAGGAATAAAAAATTTTATCATTATATAGTGACCTCTATCTCCGGTGGTATGTTTTGCCATAACAATTATGTCTAATAATATAGGGCTACGCCAGCTTTCTTTTGGTTAGCACAGGCCTGGACGTTTTTATTCTCTGGTTTTAAGCTTTCGGTGTCCTTATGTTTTAGGTGTTTCTCTTGTAAACAAACAGTAAAGAGCTATTTTTGTTTTGTTCTGTCTTTTACTAGCCCTTCACTGATACTGTCTTCCTCTCTGTAGCTTTAAAATAAGTCATAAATCTAGCTGGTGTGAGTCACCCACATTTATTCTTCTTTTTCAAAATTGCTTTAGTTTCTTTGCCTTTGGCTGTTCCATTAGATATAATTTTAATGATCAGCTTGCCTGTATCTACAAAAAATTTTGCTCGGATTTTGGAATTACATTAAATCTATAGATCAATTAGGACAGAATTGAAACTTTAGCTGTATTGAATATTCTAATCCACAAACATACTATGTTGTTCTGTAATTTAATAAAAAATTATATTTTTTAACCCTCACCCAAGAATATATTTTTGTTGATTTTTCAGGGAGAGGGAGAGAAAAAGGGAGAGAGAGATTGGTTGCCGCCCATATATACCCCAACTGAGAGCTGAATGCACAACCTTTTCGACGTACAAGACGACATTTCAACCAACTGAGCCACCTGGTTAGGGCGGTAATTTTTTTTTTTTTTTTTTTTTAAATCAAGGTCTGTAGTATTCAGCATATAGAGCATGCACATTTTTTCTTAGAATTATACCTAAATATTTATTCTTTTTTGGGAGCACTATTTTAAATGGTATTTTTTGTTTTGTTTTGTTTATTTGAAAAGTTTTGTTTTCAAATTGTTTATTTCTATTATATAGGAATATCATTAATTTTTATATGAAACTGCATCCTGACACTTTGCTAACTTCACTTATTAGTTCTAGGAGTTTTTTTTTCAGAGATTGCTAGAGATTTTCTATGTAGACAATCTTATAGTCTGTGAACTTCTTCTTTTCCAATCTGTTGGTCCAGCATGATGTTGGGTAGAAATGGTGAGAGTGGACATCCATTCCTTGGTCTTAATTTTGAGGAGAAAGTCTTCAGTATTTTGCTATCGAATATTCTATCAGCTATATTTTGTGTAGGTCCCCATGATCAGGTTATGGAGAATTCTTTCTATTTCTGGTTTACTGAGAGTGTTTATCATGAACGATGTTGAATTTTTCAAATGTTTTTTCTGCATATTGTCAGGTGTTTTTTCTTCTTCTCCAGTTTATTAACATGATGAATTACATTGACTGATTTTTGAATAGTGAACCAGCCTTCATTTGTGGGTTGAGCCTAAGTGGTCGCAGTGCCTCATTTATTTTATATATAGTTATATTTGATTTCCTACTAGTGTGTTGAGGATTTTTGCATCTGTGTTTGTAGGAGATGCTGGCAAGTAGTTTTCTCATACTGGCTGTGTCTGCTTTTGGTGTCAGGGTAATTTTGGCTTCACAGGGTGCATTGGGAAGTGTGTGTTTTTTGAAAGAGGTTGTATAGAATTGGTGCTAGTCATCTTTTAGATGTATGGTAGAATTCACCCGTGGAAACATCGGGGCCTGGAGGTTTTGTGTGTATGTGAGGGTTTTAAACAACATATTCAGTTTTTGTAATAGGTATAAACTATTCTGGTTATTTTTTCTTGCTTCACTTTAGGTAATTTGTGGCTTCGAAGGAATTGGTCCACTTCATCTAAGTTGTCAGATGTATGTGCCCAGAGTTGTTTGTAGTATTTTCTCATCATGTCTGTGGGGTGTGTAGTAATATTCTCTCTTCCATTCCTGATATTAATAGTGTCTTTTTCTTTTTTAGTTTAGCTAGTAGTTTTTCAAATTTTAAAATATTTCCAAAGAACTAAATTTTTCTGTCATTTATTTTCTCTATTGTTTTTCAGATTTTAACTTCATTGATATTTTCTATATTTATTATTATACTTTTCTGCTTGCTCTGGGTCTATTCATTAATTAATTGATTTTAAAATAGCATCTTATGGAGGAAACTGGATTTCTCATTGGAAACCTTTATTCTTTTGTAATGCAAGCATTTCAATCTATAAATTTTCTCCTAACACTGCTTTAGTAGTACCTCACACATTTTTCTATGGTATATGTAATTTTTATTTAAGTTCAAAATATTAAAAAAAAATTGCAGCTTTCTCTTTGACCTATAGACTATTTAAAATATATTGTTTACAATATGTGTTTACTTAATACCACTGAACTGCACAGTTAAAACGGTTGCGATAGTAAGTTTTATATTATGTGTGTTATACCACAGTGAAAAAAGAAGTATGTTGTTTAATTCCCAAGTACCTGGAGACTTTTCAGTTTTCTTTCTATTATTTACTTTGACTTTAATTCTGTTATAATCAGATAACACAGTTTTGGATTTTATTTATTTGAAATGTTTTAAGATCTGCTCAATTCAATTGAGCCCAGAGTCCATTCGATTTTGACAGATGTTCCATGAAAACTCAGAAGACTGTATATTCTGCAGCTGTTTGGTGGAGTGTCCTAAAATACCAGTGACATCAGCTGGTTGGTGGTGTTCAGTTCTATGTCTCTGATGATTTTCTCTCTGCTTTTTCTATCAACTACTGAGAAAAAAGTGTTGAATTATATATAATTGAGGATTTGTCCATTTGTCCTTTCGCTTCTATTGGTTTTTCTTTATGAATTTTGATGTTCTTTTGTGAAGTGCCTACATATTCTGGCTGTTATGCCTCCTTTAATCATTACGCAACGTGCTCTGCTTGTTCCTGGCAGCATCCTTTGCTCTGAAGCTCTCTTTCTCTGGAAGTAACAGGGCCACGCCAGCCTTCTTTGGATTAGTGTTAGCATGGCCTGGTTTTTCTGTCCTTTCACTTTAACTTTCTATGTTATGATACTTAGAGTGGACTCCTTGCAGACGGCATTTGATTTGGTCGTCCGCTGTCTCCACTCTGAGGACACGCGTGGTCACTGGTGCATGTGGACAGCTTCTGTCCCTGTAAATCTGGGCGAGCTTGGCTTAGGTCTACCAGCTTACTTGTTTCCTCTTTGTTCCCTCATCTTCAGTCCCTGGTCTTTCTTTCCCTGCCTCCTGGCGGATTATTTAAGTATATTTTGTTATTCGTTTGGATTTGCCTACTGAAGTTTTCTGTCTCCCTGTTGAGCTTCTTCAGTGCTTGCTCTAAGGGCCATGGTGTGCACGCTTAACTTTCACAGACTGCTTGGGTCCGCGGTCCGCTTCTCCGCGGGAGACACAGAGGCCCCCCTCCCTGCGGGCCTCTTTGTTCCCCCAGCCTCTGTCGCAGTGTCCTATACATTCTATCTATACAGTTGGCTTTCAACCATTACACGCTCTAAGAGCTTAAGAGATAAGATAGTCTAATTTTGTTGTGGTTGTTGTAGAGGTCTGATCCCTCTTTTCCCACTTTACTGAGAGTTTTTATCAAAAGTGGGTGTTGGATTTTGTTGAATGCTTTTTCTGTGTTTATTGATATGATCATGTGATTTTTGTTTTTCAATTTATTTATGTGATGTATTTTATTTTATTTTTATTTTTTGAATTTATCTTTATTGTTGAAAGTATTACAGATGTCCCCCTTTCCCCAAACTAGTCTGTTATAGTTATTCAATCACTTACCATTTCTGTTCTCTCTTCGTTACTGAAATACCCAGTTTCTTCTCATCTGAAAAACCTCTTTTAGTATTTTATTTTTGGAGAAAATTTGATGACAAGAAATTCTCTTTGTTTACCTTCATCTGGGACTATATTTATTTTTGCCTTCATTCCTGAAGGATATCTTTGCTGGATATGAAATTCTGTGCATTTCTTTTCAGCACTTTAAAAACACTGTTCCCCTGCCTTCTGATTTGTCATGAGAAAATCCCCAGTCATTCATGTTGTTTCCCCATGAATAACGTGCGGTTTTCCTCTGGCTGCTTTCAGGGTGTTCCCATTGTCTTTAGGACTCAACAGTTGATTATGATGCACCTGGACATGGAATTTGCTGTTGATTTTGTTTGGGTTTGGCTAAGTTTCTTGAATCTTTAAGGTTATGTATTTCACCAAATTTGAAAAAATACTGGCTAAAAGGTTCCTGAACATTTTTTATTTTTATACCACACTCCCCTTCCTCTCTTTCTGGGGCTCCAACAACAGAAATGCTAGTTAGATTCTTCCGTATCATGACACATGACCCTGAGGCTTCTTCATTTTTATCAGGGTGGGCAATTTCTACTGATCCGTCTTCCATTTCATGGGCTCTTTCCTCTCTCACCTCACTCTCCTGTTGCTGTCATTTGGTCAGATTTAAAAATTTCAATTACTATAACGTTCAGTTCTTCAAGTTTTATTGGATTCTTTTTTATCGATTCTCCTCTTTACCAAGACTTTCTAGTTTTCCATTCATTTCAAAAGTCTTAAGCCTTACTTCTTAGAGCTTGGTTAATAACAGCTGCTTTAAAGCTTTTGTCCGATAATTTGACATCTGCGTCACCTCAGAATTGTCACCTGTTGATTCTCTTTTTCTGGTGAAATATTGAGGTTTCCCTGGTTCACTCTATGCTGTGTAGTTTCAGATTGTATCCTGGACATTGTGAGCGTTATGGACTCTGCCTCTTGTTAACATCTTCTGGGGAATGTGGATATTGTATTTTACCAGGCAACTGACCCGGTTGGGTTCAGGCCACAGGTTCCTCCCCAGCTTCTGTGAGCTCCATTTTCCAAGACTGCAGGCTGTTTTCATCTGCTCCCTACTCACCCCTGGTGGGAGCCAGTCTTGAGCTGTGGTCTGCCCCGAAGGTCAGTTCTCAAAGCCTTTAGAATGTGGTTAGGACCAGATCGCACATGTGCAGCTCGGGACTGAACCCAGAGTTCGGTACAGATCTGAATGGTCCCCTTTTCTTAAGACTTTTCCTCTTTGTCGTCTCCCCAACACTTTCCGGGTACTCGGCCCCTTCCTGCCCCTTGCTTCCCTGCCCTGCCACACACTTTGCACAACTGCTCCTGTCCTTGGGGCGAGGCAGGGGGAGGAATTGGAGACAAAAACACTGGGATCTTGCCTACGCTTTTGGGACCAAGGTTCCTCTATTCAGAGGAAATGACTCTCCTCCTCGTGAGTTTCGGATGCCTGCCAGGCCCAGGCTGCCACTGCAGGTTTGCCTGGTGGCTGGGGAGGGGAAGAAGAGAGAAACCCAGCAAAAGTGTCCCGGGTTCTCTGCCATGGTGTGCGACTGGGAGGAGCCTCCTTTCCTGCTCCTCAGACCAGAATAGTGGCCCCTTTTGGATCTCTGTGTGTCCTGGGTGTCAGGCTTCCCGTGAGCCCATACCAGGGGATGCTGGAGGGGAGCCCCGGAACTCACTGCCAGCTGCATGAGGCTCTGGGTTGGGTCTTTTTCTCCACTACCATTCACTTTGCAGAGTTCCTAGGGGGTTGCTCGTACACTCTATCTGGGATTTTAGTTGCATTCAGTGGATAGAACAGAGTAGAGTGTGCTCACACCCCTGAAGAGGTCTGGAAGTCTGTGTGTGTGTGTGTGTGTGTGTGTGTGTGTGTGTGTGTGTGTGTTTAACATAAAATGAGAACTTCATCATCTCCTGCATATCTGGAGAGAACGGGAGAGGACCAGCGAGCCCACTTCTGTTGAGTGCCAACCCTGTGCCAGGCTCTGTGCCCAGTGCACAGAAACATCACTCTATACACTGTGAGGAAAGTGTAGTGGTGTTAGTGCCATTGTAGAGTTTGGGAAAACTAGGCTCAGATTAATTAGTTCAAGGTCAGATAGATAACAGTGGCAGACTGAGGACACGTATCACGGCCTCCTTAGAGAGATCCAAAAGGTCTGTGAAAACAGAAGAGACTGGAGGGCTCAAGGCTGATGTCTGTCTCCCCCCGTCTGCAGGATGGAGGAAGGTGATGCTGTGATTATGCACCCTGGGGCCCTGCGCATCATGGTCCGGCTGCTGCCTCGGCTGTACCATGAAGATCACCCCCAGGTACCTGTTGATGAACACACGTTGTCTTTTTTTACATGACTGATCTCTTGAGTTCCTTCTGGCTGGAGACTCGGTTTTCCTTTGCGCCTCTGCCTCAGCGCCTGCATGAGCAGAGCCGCTTGCACAGTGCTGTCTGCAGGGGCATCGATGCCTCTGAGACCCTCGGGTGGGTCCTGCTCACCTTCCAAGGCCATGCAGAACATCACTGCTCTGGGCGTAGTGACCTTCTGAAAACAGCAGCCAACGCAGCTGAAATGGTTCGAGCTACCTGAGGCAGGACCGGGTGCTGAGGTCAGCGCTGGGGACTGCGGGACCTGAAGCCGTGCTCCCACGCATTCGCCCGCCTCCGCCCGGGGTGGCTGCCCTCTGGGCCCAGGGCTCTGCGCGGGCCATGCCTGGCTGACAGGCGGACACAGTCCATGGGGCCTGCGTCTACAGCGGGGACCGGGAGGTGTGACAGTGCAGAGAGATGAAATAATAAGCTCACTAATGAATATCCCATTACAGCTTGTCACGAGCCCTATCAAGGGAGCAACCCAGGGTGCTGAGACAATAAGGGGAGGGGTGGAATTAGGGGGAGACCTAATTAAACCTAACTTAGGTGAGGGGTGGAGGTCAAGGAAGCCGCCTCTTAGGTGGTGACCTTTAAGCAGGTGGGCAGGAGCTGCTGAAGGTGGCTGGGGCTGGGGAGTGGGGGAAGAGGGAACGGTGCGAGGTGCGCAGGCAGAGGGAGGCTGGAGCCCTGCCTGCGGTGTGGAGTTTTATCTCCAGGGAAGCAAGCAACTGCTCTCAAATGCGTGGCAGATGACACTACCAGGCTTCTGTATGACAAATCTCTCTGTGGGTGTGTGTGGGGGATGGCCTGGGGTGTGTGAGGGATGGCCTGGGGTGTGTGTGTGAGGGATGGAGGGATTGCCTGGGGGGTGTGTGTGTAAGGGATGGAGGGATGGCCTGGGTGTGTGTGTGGGAGAGGCCAGGGGACAGCAGTCAAGTCATATCTACGGTCTAGGAGACACATGGCAGAAGCTCAGTCAGGGTGTTTCTGGAAAGTGTGAAGAGAAGAGGTCGAGAGACCCCTCAGAGACAGAATCACAGCCCAGAGCTGGACGGGCACAGGGAGCGGGAAGGGGGGAGCCAAGGGCAGCTCTCAGGCTGGCTCCTGGCAGGACTGAAGCCCACTGTGGGGTGCAGACCTGCGTGGGTGACAGCCCTGGGGAGCATAACAAGGCGGGTCTGAGACAGTGCTCCCGACTGGGAGGGTAAGGCTTCGAAGTTCTGAGACAGACGCCAGGGAGTTGGAGAGACCTGGAGAGTGCACCCTGTAGATACCAGCAGCAGAGAGGAAGGCCTTGCAGGAGCAGCCATGCCCCAGCTGGTGCCACCCTTCCACTGTTTGTTTACCTCACAGCAGGTGTGAGGGGCATGCTGTCGGCTCAGTTTTAATCCGTGGACATGGGGGCTCAGTGAATTTAAATCCTTTGGAAGGATTCCCAGTTGGTGGACCTGGTTTAAATGTGATCCTGGTGGCAGGTGTCGTTTCCCCTCCCCCCCCACTCCATAGCAGTGGCTTCTGCAGAAAGCATGGGGGTGGGGCAGAGGTCTAGCTTTGCTTTGTCTGGATGTTTAAAAGGAGGTGACATGTTTTAGGAAGAAATGGCAACCAGTGACATTATTAACCCCAGTCTGAAAAAGTCAATGACTTAGTGAAAATACGGCAAGCCCTCTGCTGCAAAGCGGCAATAGGGTGGTGTTGACGCCAATGAATAGGGTACGTCTAACAGTGAGGTGAACGCACTTGACCCTTCCAACATTTATGGAAAGGCAGTAGCCTGGGATAATGGGCTCGGATGCTCTTCAGTTACCCACTGCTGTGTCACACCCGGCTCTCCGGGCTCAGACAGGCACGGCGGGGACAGCCCCTCTGCTCCGTGCGCTGCTGGGCTCTTCATGCCTCACAAGGCTGCTCCGATGGCAGGGGCCTCGACTGGGTCAGGTATCTGGGGCCTTGGTTCGAGCTGTTGGTAGGATCCCGAGTTCTCTGCCAGGCATCTCTCTTTATCTGGCCTCTACCTGTGTCCCTCCAGGTAGGTTCTCCAGCAGGTCAAGTGGCAACTCAGGGCTCTCAAAGGCATAAAAGCAGACGCTACCTGGCCTTCTGAAGGCAGAGACCAGGGGCAAGCCAGCCCTGCTTCCAGGGCGTTCTACTGGCTGAGTCCCGGTTCAGCTGGACTCAACGGCAAGGGACATGTGCTCCCTACTGAGTGAGGGGCAACATGTGCGTACAGGAGGGAGCGAACTGTTGGGGGCCATCGTTAACCGCCCCCCCACACTTGCCTTGAGCATCCAACTTAAGGATAAAAATATTTGATCCCTGAGCCAGAAGTCTTCTAGTCATTTAGTTATGTGAGGCCTGGGACCCTCCTTTCTTTACCTTGGTGTTCAAGGCAGGCCTGTCTGGAGCATACTGGAAACTGGTATACATTCTTCAATGCCAGGAATGTTATTTTATCAACTTTCACAGGAGCTCATATACATGAGAATCTCCCCATTTTGCAGGTGCTTGAGGCTCAGGTAACTTGTGTAACTCTGCCAGGTCTTGGGGCTCGTGAGGGGAGATGTGAAGCACTCCCAGGCCCAAGTTGAAAATGTGTTTGATGAACCAGCCTCTCATCTTTGCGGCTTTCGCAGGATGCAGGCCATGCTGTCTGGGCACCGTGTGTTTTTCCAGGTGCCATCACCTCACTGTGAGGACGCCTGGCTTCCTTGGCTGTATTTTGTACCATGCAATGGGCTTGTGGTGAGAGCTAAGCCAGTGCTCCGGATGGTCTTAGCACTCACGCGGTGCTCATGGGCACTGTGCAAGCTCCACCCTGACGCTGACTGATGGAGTGATCAGAGCAGGCAGTGGCCTGTTCTTGCTCCGAGTGCAGGGAAACTGTGGATGAGCCCGGGTTCCAGATAAACTCCATGAGCTGTCACATTAGTATGTGGACAAGAACTTCCTCTCATTCTTTGATGGTAATTAGATAAACTAAGTATGAAAATGAGAATCCCATTGGGTAGGATACTTTTTTCTATTCAGGTCACAGTAAGTAATTTAGGAAAAGTCTAATTTCTCCTCTCTCAAATATGCAAATGAAAGGTAGTGGTGCATTTTGTCAAATACTTTCTGCAGATGCCAAACCAGCACTATTCAAAGTTGGATAATTGCAGTAATTAATTTCTGAAGGGGTGTGTGAACCTCATAACAACAAGTAGAACAGTAAATCAAGTGAGAAATAAGACCACACAAGAAAATGCTGGATCGACACTGACCTCAGGGCTGCATATTTTGTTGCAGAAAAAGGCACAGGAAATTTCAGTAGAGGGCAGTGTTATTAAAAAGATGGGATGTAAGTCCCACTCGTCTCCCTTTCCACCTGCCCGATGGCCCTAAGCTCTTAGCCACTTACATTCCTCAGCTGCTCTTCCCACCTTGTGGTGGAGAAATTGATGGCTTTCCGCGGGCAGGTACCAGTTTTGAAGCAACAGCCTGAACAGCTGCATACGTGGGCTGTGAGGTTTAGCTCTAACCGTGGTCACATCAGATTTGCTCTGCTCAGAACCTGGAGGTGTTTGGGTTTTTTTTGTTTTTTGTTGTTGTTCCCCCCCCACCCCTTTTCTAAAATACTGTTAGACCCAGGTTACACGAGACCAATTCACACAGAGACCAAATTGAGCTTTTGGAGATTTATTTAGCTGGCGGTGGCTACGAGCGGGCTCATGCCCTAAACAAACTTGCAGCCCGAACAGTTTTTGCAGGGAGAACAAAAAGGCAGAAAAACAAACAAACTACATTCTGTTTGGTGAAGGGGGAGCCATTCGGTCAAGGGGACGCAGGTGGCGGAACTAGCGAAGCAGTAGACAGAAGCTAAGATTAGCGTTAATGAGCTTTCTGCAGTTACCTATCCTCTGGAATTTCCTGGGCTGCGATCCTTTGCACAGGCCAGGAAAGGAGCCGAGGTCATTGCTGCTACATAATAAATGTTGTTGCTCCTGTTTATCTTACAGGAGCGGCTGTAAGGGTGAAGATGGGGTGCTGTACTTCAATACTCGCACTGCAAGCTGCTCATGGAAACAGATAATGCAGCTGGGTTTTCCCTCTTGTTTCATCACCAGTATTAAAACTGGACTCTGGGAATTTTGCTGTGAATGCTGCTGTCCTGAGCCCCAGGCAAACAAGGAGTTCAGCTCAAGTCCTCGTGAGCTGAGTTGGCCCCAGAAAAATATAACTAACTGGGAACCAAGACATCTTCTGTTTCCGGTGGGCTCGGCAGCCACATGAGTCTTGCCGTAGACATGTTTGCTTCTAGGAATAGTTAGTAACCCCGCTGGGTGCCCTGGGGAATCGGGGGTGAATGCTGCAGGAACTCACCGTCTGCGTTTGAGGATGGGCAGGCAGAGGTTTGTAGAAATGGTAAGACAGCGTTCTCATGGCTGCAACAAATGTTTGTCCACAGGCCCTGGGACAGAGTGAAGGGGAAGCCAGAGAGGTGGGGTCACCAGAGTTGAGCTCTAAAGAAGAGAACTGCCCATGCACATTAGGCAGGGGAGGAAGGCAAGAAAGCCCAGACACAGAGAGGCAAGAGGAAGATGCCCCCTTAGGGACCCGGACTAGTTCGGCTGGGCTGGGACAGACCACGTGGGTAGAAAAACAGCGAGTGGGGCTGAAGGTTAGTTGAAGCCACATTATGAAGGGCCCTGAATACCATGCTGAGAACTGAACTTTATTGGGTTATGGTCCATGTCGTCATCATTGTCATCACTACCATGATGTTTAAATTTTATTTATTGATTTTAGGGAGAGAGGGAGGGGGAGAGAGACAGAGAGGGAGGGGAGAGAGAGACATCGATTTGTTGTTCCACTTATTCATGCATTCACTGGTCGATTCTTGTATGTACCCTGATGGGACTGAACCCGCAACCTTGGCACGTTGGGACGACACTCTGACCAGCTGAGC